ACATGTGTGATGTGTAATGACTTTACTCTAGAATTTTTTTTGGAAAAGGAGGATGACCCCCGACCTCTTCATCTGAGAGATGCATGCGGTCATTTTATTGATTATTCTCGAGAACCTTATAAAGTAGTACAACAATATACCTGAATCCGCCATCTTGGCAACATCTGCCGCTTCTCCAATCCATATGATGAAGGGTGCAAGCTGGGCCAAATACTCAGACCTCTCACCTAAGCCTAACATCTAAAAGTCGGAGGCCCCGACCGAGCCACATACCGGGTCCGGGTCATAAACCGGTCCGACGCACTCACATGTGTCGTCGCCGCCATCTTCCACTGGTCCATCTTCAGAGCAGATTGATGTGCCAACCTTGGCAGGTAACTCCTCAATCGACGCCACCATGATACCAAACGACGACCTCCACCTACGCGAGTCCATCTCCAAGCAACGGACGCAGATCCATGCTAGGATAGGGCCGCACCACCGCCGTTGCCCACCATCCACAAGCGCCACCCAGCTACAAGGTTCCCAAAGCGGTGCCTTCAAGAAGGGAACTGCAACGTGAGCTCCATCGCCGCCCAACAAAGTTAGGGCTTTCGCCCAGGAGACCTAGGGGAAGGATAAGTGAGGGGATCAGTCTATACCGACACCTCCAAGGAGGGGAACGACGCCCTCAGGCGTCGCCGTTGACGCGGCCGGCCATGGCCGACCAGGGATTCCGCCCACACTAGATCCCCGCCACCAGCAGCGCCTCATGTACAGAACCGGCGACCCAAGGAAGCGCGGCCCGATAAGGATGGCCCGCACGACGAAAGGGGAGGAGGGAAGGCACCAGATCGCGCGCACCGGCCACCGCAGAAACCGCCGCCGGCCGTCAACGACCACCGGATCCCGCCGCTCGCGCGGCTGGGACGCCAGATCCACCGCCCGCACGGTTGCTAGCCGGCCGTGCCTTGCCAATGGAGCCTCCGCTCCAGATCCGGAGTTCCTCACGCAGAGGCGGGGCAACCGAGGCCATGCCGCCATCATCCTTGGCGCCCCGGTCTTGCCCGGCGGCTGCCTCAGGCGGCGGCGAGGAAGGGAAGAGGAGGAGGGGCGTCTAGGGAGGAGGGTGGCTAGGGTTGGGAGGGAGGAGGAGGAGGGGCGGCTAGGACTTTACTCTAGAATCTAGAGATCACCTCTTCTTCAACTGCAGATTTACAAAACACTGTTGGAAATACATATGCCCAAATTGGATACCGGCAAATGAGGATATCCAAGTACACATTTCCAGGCTACGCGCTCATATCAATTTACCATTTGCTATGGATATTATCATTCATGTTTCTTGGGCAATATGGAACACAAGAAATGACTTTATCTTGAAGAACATACCCCCAAGCCTCTATGCCTGCAGGAAAAGAATGACAAATGAAATCCAATGGCTGGTTCATACAGCAACGCGCAAATCCTTCGCCGCTCTGCTACAATGGGTGAAGGAGTTCAGATGATGATACTACTTTTCTTGTTTATATAGTTTTTTGGTCTCATTGTTTGTATTCATTTCACTCTTGGGTCTTCACCCAGTGAGTTTGTGGTAGTTGGTTGCCTGTATAGTTCTTTTCCTTTAGTTTTTCTCTTTTCTTTTTGAAACCTTGTATAATTTATTTGAAAATTAATTAAATACGCAACAGATTCATGATGTTTTTCTTAAAGAAAAGATTAGCGTTCAATTAACCGACGTTGTGGAGATAGACTCCTACATCAATGCTACTTTAGTTATTATTATTTTTTATTGCCTAAGCATCTGAACAAGCACTCTTGCATTGGAGATGCCTTAAGGTTTACTCCTCTACTTTTTAAGGTTCGATTAGAGTTGTCCTTATATAGGTGTACCATTGCCCATGGCTTCAGCCTTTTTGAATAAGAAAACGGTGATGCCACACGGATAATTTTTTACAGAGTTTACGAGCTGGCACATGTGGCAGAGTGGGGGGTGGTGTTACCCAGCGCATGTAGGATTATTCATAAGGAAAAGACCGGCAGCTAAAATGAACTGCATGTCGCATTATGAAGGTAGTATCATAGACAAGTATCATATGCATGATACTAATTTATGATACTGCCCACTATGAATAGCTTAAATGGACTGCATGCCGCATTTTCCTTTTGAGAGACAAGCATGACCGGTTTTAGAAAGCAGACAGACAATGACCAGTCAGCGGGGAAGAAACAGATAAGAACTGTCCGTAGAATGTCACCCCATTGACCAGGGCCAACGCGATCCCTAAATAGACACTGCTCTTCTGTACGTCAAAACCTAACGACCACCTGCGGACAGGACATGCCGCGAACAGCGCTCGAATCAAGAATTCCCTTGCCATTGTCATGCGTCCGTCCCATATAAATTGTGTTTTCCCTTCAGTGCCTCAGCAACCTTTCTCGCCGGCCGAAATGGCAAATAACTTCCTCCTCGGAGGCCTGGGGGCCATCCTTGTCGTCGCGGTCGTGGTGGGCGTAGTCGCCACCGTGACCAGCTCCGGTAACAATAAGGCCGGCGACAACTTCAATGTCCCAGGTGAGGCCAACCTTGCCACCTCCGGCAAGTCGGTCAAGTCTCTGTGCGCCCCCACGCTGTACAAGGAGTCGTGCGAGAAGACCCTCACCTCGGCCTCCAATGGCACCGAGAACCCCAAAGAGGTGTTCGCCACCGTTGCCAAGTCGGCGATGGAGTCGATCAAGTCGGCGGTGGAGCGGTCAAAAAGTATCGGGGAGGTCAAGTCGAGCGACCCCTTGACGGAGGGCGCGCGCCAGGACTGCAAGGAGCTCCTGGAGGACTCCGTGGACGACCTCAAGGGCATGGTCGAGATGGCCGGCGGCGACATCAAGGTGCTCCTTAGCCGCACCGACGACCTCGAGCACTGGATCACCGGTGTGATGACCTTTATCGACACCTGCGCCGATGGCTTCGCCGACGAGAAGCTCAAGGCGGACATGCAGGGCATCCTGCGCAACGCCACGGAGCTCAGCAGCAACGCGCTCGCCATCACCAACAGCCTCGGCGCCATCTTCAAGAAGCTCGACCTCGACGTGTTCAAGACCGACTCCCGCCGCCGCCTCTTGTCTGCGGAGGAGTCGAAGTACCCCGCGTGGATGAAGGCTCCAGAAAGGAAGCTACTGGCCTCCGGTGGCTTGCCAGCGCCGAACGCGGTTGTGGCCAAGGACGGAAGCGGCAAATTCAAGACCATCCAGGACGCCGTGAACTCCATGCCCAAGGATCACCCTGGCCGGTACGTGATCTACGTCAAGGCTGGGGTCTACGAAGAGATGGTCATGGTCCCCAAGGACAAGGTCAACATATTCATGTATGGCGACGGCCCCAAGCAAAGCCGCGTCACCGGCAGTAAGAGCTTCGCCGACGGCATCACCACCATGAAGACCGCCACCTTCTGTGAGCCCTAGCTATATATAGCTAGCTAGCATTTGGTGCAGCACGAGTAAGGTTAGGTTGCACAGGGCAATGCAGGTAGTAATTAACTCGTACGTATCTTGTCTGCTGCATGCTGCAGCCATTGAGGCGGCCGGGTTCATCTGCAAGAACATGGGGTTCCACAACACGGCTGGCGCGGAGAAGCACCAGGCGGTGGCGCTGCGGGTGCAGGGCGACCTCTCGGCGTTCTTCAACTGCCGGTTCGACGCGTTCCAGGACACGCTGTACGTGCACGCCCGGCGCCAGTTCTTCCGCAACTGCGTCATCTCCGGCACCATCGACTTCATCTTCGGCAACTCGGCCGCCGTGTTCCAGAACTGTCTCATCATCACGCGCCGGCCCATGGACAACCAGCAGAACTCGGTGACTGCGCACGGCCGCACGGACCCCAACATGAAGTCCGGGCTGGTGATCCAGAACTGCCGCCTGGTGCCGGACCAGAAGCTGTTCGCGGACCGCTTCAAGATCCCGTCCTACCTGGGCAGGCCGTGGAAGGAGTTCTCGCGGCTGGTCATCATGGAGAGCATGATCGCCGACTTCATCAAGCCCGAGGGGTACATGCCGTGGAACGGCGACTTCGCGCTCAAGACGCTCTACTACGCCGAGTTCGGCAACCGCGGCCCCGGCGCCGGCACCAGCAAGAGGGTCACCTGGCCAGGGTTCCGCGTCATCGGGAACAAGGAGGCCGAGCAGTTCACCGCAGGGCCCTTCATCGACGGGGCGACATGGCTCAAGTTCACCGGCATGCCCAACTACCTCGGATTCAAGGTCTAAACGCGCATGCATATGCATGCATGCAACGCCTGCCCCCTGTACATGAGATACCGATCGAGGTAAACGTAATGTGTGTACGGAACGTGTGATGACTGATGCTTGCAAGATCAGCAAACCTTCGCTGCTCCGTTATCACCTTCTGTTCTTTTCTGGAGTTCTCTTTTCCCTGGTAAATGATTAAGTGTATGTTGTGAGTTGTGACATTGATTAACTGGAAAATGTATCATTCAGATGCCCATTAACTGCGTCTGCGTTGCTACTACTACTCCATTATTTTATGCTCATATTTGCTGCACATCTCAACTTCTTATTTTGGACTGCTACTACGTAGTATACGTGACAGCGCCGAGACAGAAGGGACCGACCGAACCTCTCAAAAAATAATCTCCACGTACGCATTAGCTTGTGTTTAAGTTTAACCCGGGTCAAAACAAACTTCCAAAGCAAGCTAGCATTTACGCCTCACCAAATTATCATGCATGCGCTCCGGCCTGGCATTCAACCATCCCCTAATGCGTGACGTCCGGCCGGACGCGGCAGGGAGATTACAAACTGCAATGAACTGGAATTGATAGAGGAGAGAGCCGCCGATCTGGCCCGATATGTGTCACTTCTCACTATGCACGTATGATCCCCTCCCCACCGTCTCACTCGCCTCCGGTCGCCTACAAAAGGACCCCCATCCTCCCCACCCTCCCTGCATTGTGTGCTGCTATCCCCTTTCCATCTTCTCCCAAACTTCCCAAGTGATCCCAAGAGGATGGGCTCGATCAGGAGGCGGGAGTACGCTTACGACGCCGACGACGAGGACGATTTCTACATCCGGAACGATGATGACCTTCTAGAGGCCCCGACCCTCACCAGTGAGCAAATGGCGCGCGCCAGGGTATACATGAACCTATGCTCAATTTCAGTACCCACTTACATATGGTTCTTGAATCGCATCGCCTTTCGCGCGCTTTTTTGAAATCACGGTTTCGCGCGCTTTTCTCCGTTTGAATCTTTTTATAGTAATTTTCTGCATTTTTGTGTTAGGATTGTAGTAATAGATCCATACAATTCTAGCCATAGGAAATCATGATGGTTACATTTTTTTTAGGCAGATTACAGTTGGTTTCATGGATTCACACTTGGATCCCTTGCTAGATCTTATGTATTTTGCTCGTATGCTCATAGATATTGTTTGTGTTATCCAGTCTAGCACTAATACATAGTAGGCCTGATGTATGGGCAAAATAGATCGACAAGAAGTTGTGAGTAAGATCTTGAGAAATTTAGATCCGTGATCCAAAGCTTCAATCTGAATATATTAATTGAATACTAACTAGAGGAGATACATTAATTCAAAAATATTAGGAATACATCATATATGGAGTAGATGCAAAAGCCAGATGATTTGCTACTCACATATTTGGGGAGCAACTTACTTATTACTAGCATAGTTTGCTGCCGCCGCCGCACCTGTATGAATTAACTCAGCGGTCTCAATTTCCTGGTCCAATTACCATAGTTTGACTAACTCGTTTCACTGCATGCAGGAGGAAGCTCTGTACGTGCTGAAAACCAAGTCCCCTGAAGAGGCTTTCAAGATTTTCACCGAGGTAGTAGCATCATTCCTTTGATTGTTTTACCTTTGATTCCTCTCATGTTATTTTACCATCACTCTATCCAAAGTGCAAGCAAAAATCGTTCACAAATTAAGTTCGGAAAGTATATGTTCTAGGGTTCCTATTACAAAATTGATGGTCCGCCACTGGCACCGGAGAAGGAGGACAAGGCCCCGACCACCGCAACGCCTCCAACAGCCACCGCCAATGTGAAGGAGCAGCCCCAGACCACCGTGCCGCCATCAGGAAAGTGAGCGTGAGCATGAGCAATCCGGACGGTTCAAGAAGTTGTAGTAACTGCCCCCCGTTGTAGTAGCGTCCTGCCCATCTGGTCATGTTGAACCATGAATAATCGTGTGTTTGTTTGCTCGTATGTGAACCTAAGGGAGACCTGTATTCCTCCTCCGTGATGTTCCGCCGAATGAACCATCCATTTCGTTTAATGCTATGGCGTTTACTTTGTTCGTTCCAATGCGTGTCGACAGCAAACTATGCATCTCTCATGTTCCGACGTTGGCGCGGTCTATTCATCGAATGCCTGAATATTTCACGAGAAAATTAGGCAATTTGTTGAAGATTTCACATTTGGAAGCCTTGTATGAAAAATCCAATCTTCAAGCCACACTCTCTAGCAAAGAACTAGAAATCACGATAGCACTTCGCTCACGTTGCACATAACTGAAAGCGCAGCACCATCTCCGATATCTACTACTATATCTTAATGCAAAACACACACAACCCTCTTGCGTGTTCTTGCTCAGGTTCATGCTTAGCAACGTGCACTGGTGACCGAGATTAACAAGAAATCCATAAGTTGTTAAAGCAATCGACGTTATGTCCACATATGTCGCAAAAGCGGAAAGCGTTTCCGTTGTAAACAGTGCACGCAACCGATGTTGTAGCCGTTCTCAAAAAGAAAAAAAAAAGAAAAGAAAAACCGATGTTGTGGCCATGGCGTCGCGCGCCATGCGTGTTAGGGTTTCGCCTTTGCCACCTGACCCTCCGGAAACGTAGCGGGTCGCCGTGTCACCTGATGCGCGCGTGAGCCCCGTGGCCGAGGCTGTGGCGTGTGCCGCGTCACCATGGCTTCCTTGCGCTTTCGGTTCTTGGCCGCTTGCGCATACTGCCTGCGCGCTGCCAAACTTGTGATGGCAATGCTGGTCGTCGCACTCGGTGCACCGACACGACACCGGAGTGTAGCGTGGCGTGATCCTCAGAGTCAACTTTTTGCTTACACAAGTTGGGCCCGTTGTTGGTTGCAGCATACGGGCCAGCCAGCCCCGTTTGCAAAGAAGATACCCGATGCCCTGGCCCAAACCCAACACATCATACACGCCTAATTTTTATTTTATTTTCTCGATGGGAATGTACTACTACAAAGTTAGAAGGAGAACTTGAGGAGCATGTCGTGCTTGTACACCTGGCCGGGCCTCACCGTCACGGACGGGAACTCGGGGTGGTTCACGGCGTCCGGGTACGCCTGCGTCTCAAGGCAGAACCCAGCGTACTGCCGGTACACGATGCCGCCCTTCCCCCTGGTGTTGTTCAGCCCGTTGCCGGTGTAGAGCTGCATGGCCGGCTGGTTGGCCCACAGCTGCAGCGCGCGCCCGGACGCGCCGTCCCGGACCGCCGCCACCCTCCGCATGCCGGCCCCGTCGATCACGTAGTTGATGTCGTACCCGCGGACGCCCTTGCCGCCCATGACCTGCCGGATGCGCGCGCCGATGGGCGTCGGCGTCCGGAAGTCGTAGTTGGTGCCGGCCACCGGGTCGACGCGGCCCGACGACGGGAGGAGCTCCTCGTCCATCGGGGTGTACCGGGACGCGGAGAGCTGGAGCGTGTGGCCCAGCACGTCGCCGCTGCCCTGCCCGCCCAGGTTGAGGTACACGTGCTGCAGGAAGTTCACCGGCGTCGCCTTGTTCAGCGCCGTCGCGTTCGTGCGGATGCTCAGCACGTACGGGCTCGACACCTGGTACGTCGCGTACACGTCCAAGTCTCCGGGGAATCCTGGTTAATAATTGGTTGCAAGCATGATTGATCACATTACATGCAACATTTTCTTTGGTAAAATGGGTCGTATCGTTTCTCCGACCTTGCTCCCCGTCGAAGCTGCGGTAGTAGAGCGTGATATACGGGGAGTCGCCGCCGGCGACGTACTCCTTCACCGTCCATATGACTTTGCTGAATCCCCTGTGGCCACCTATAACAACAGAAAATTAATTACCGCGTGTTATCGCGGGTAGCTCTTTGACAGAATCGAACAATGCATACCATGGATGGCGTTCCTGCCGTCGTTGATGTACGTGTGGTATACTTTGCCGTCGAGGACGAACCGGCCTCTGGCCATTCGTTGTGCTACGCGCCCGCTCAGCGGCCCGAAGTAGGCCGTATCGTTCTGGTCCGCAAGAGGAAATATTCAGAGGAAACGAATTGAAATTGTGATAACAATAATCCTAAGACGTTGGGCTCATATGTAGATTAGTTGGAGAAGATGGAATTCGATGATCTTACAACATATTCAGCGAGGGTGTCTTTACCCAGCACAACATCGGCCAAATTCCCTACAAAATCATTTCGGCATATCAAGCCTCGCACACAAAAACAAGCTCACAACAAATGAAGGAAGCTACCCGCAAAATAAAAATAAAAATGAAGGAAGCTATTAAACATGGCAGTTTTACTCATGAGTTCTTTTTCTTTTGAGGAATACTCAGGAGTTTGGATAGCCAAACCCACATGTGTATAGGTGCGGTGTTTTAATTTGTGTATGGGGCAAAACTCAGGGTTGGTAATCCGATTATTTATGAGTCGGCATGGAATGCAATTCTTTACAAAGGGAATTAAAACCTTTATATAATGTGGGCCATCAAAGATTTATCACACAACCCTTCCTTTTGTAAGTAGATAACTTTTTAATATGCACATTCGAACTTTATTAAGTTTTACTAATAATGGGCACATGAAAGAGAGGTGCAAGATATTTTTCTCCTAACACGAGCCTATGAAATTAATGATAAAAATGCACACTAGAGATCGTGTTAGTGCCTAAAACATCATCTATATATGAATGGGAAATATATAATTGGGAAATCTAACTCCCCTATGTTCTTGTAAAAAAAAACATTTTGCTTATTCTTCATTCGTAATGCTATAATTTATTACGCCAATAAAACCCAATTGGCATGAATACTCATCGAATTTGCGCATGGAAATGGTTTTTTTGTTCATCTATGGATATATTCATGGACATCAACGCCACAAATTTATTTTGATATCACTTAACCCTTGAAAAAACCCAACATGTGTCATCCTAAGAGGCTGCATGATTTCTGGGTACCAACAAAAGAATAATGTTTGATTTTATATTGTATTGAAATGAAGGAACATCATCTGCTCATCATACCTTTGTTGTCGGGGACGATGATCGACATGATAGTGGCGCCCCAATTGGTGACCTTCACGGAGAAATCCCCTTTCTTGAGCATGTATATCCCAACCATCTTCCTCGCTTCGCTGACGCAAACCAGCGTAGAGGCCACAAGGTACAAGAGCACGAGAAACGATAGAACCCTAGCCATTGGATTAGCACACAGGAAGAAGACGATGGCTTAGAAGGTGCGGGCACTAAACCGAGTGGATCACACGTAGTAGAACGGATGGTCAGTTATATCAACTAGGAGCACTCGCTATCGAGGAAGTGAGAAGATCTCGTCTAGTGGACTTTTTCTAGAGATCTGCATGCTCGATGACTAATGGCTCCAAGAACCTGTAGGAAAAAAATGCACGGTTGGTTGGCAGTTCAAGGACTCCAGTTCAAGCGTAAACACGGTTTAAAAAATGAGTGGACTAGGGAGAGGTGCGGCATGATTGCATGCATGCAACAATGACCCATATGCATGACATTAGTCTTTAATTTTATTTTATTTTAATTTTTATCTCTCAAACCATTGTCCTGATTGACAGTATGCTTTTATTGTTGGATTTTACATAGGGTTACCTTAAAAAAACCACATGTGAGCTTGCTTCAACTACTCTTTTTTCGTCGGTACTTGCTAGGTTACTCTAACTTGCTAGAAAATAATGTGGTTGGCTGGTTGTTGAACAATTTTGGTACCAATACACCGCAAACTTCATACATCATGGGATGACAACTTTAAGGTGAATTTTATTGTCAAAACATATACATATGGGATATAGTATCGAAGCTCTTGTCGAGACAAATCTACACGAAGATGGATCATAAATCATATTTGTGATTCATGAATTAAAACATTTTTGGACTTTTAACTTGAAAGTGTGTTGTTCCTTCAATGGTATTTTGGTGTTGATGACAATGGGGTTTGTGAGGTCTAATGTCGTTTTCAATAGTTGTCTACGGACATGGCTGACCCCCTAATTCAAAAAGGGAAAAGGGCACCAGTTTTCTGAAGACTCAAAGATTTATTTTATTTTATTTGAGTCACAGGACAACCGCACTATTAAGAGGGGTCGAGGTATTCAAGGATGTTGGGGACCATGCTACCACTCCTATGAAGCCACCCAACACGGAAAATTTCATCAAGGGTAAAACCCTAGACCTTAATGTGCCTCTGTTGGAACCCACATGTTCCCAAGGACCGGGTCCCTGGAGAGGACATAAACCTTCTGGACACCCCAGGTCCTCAGACTCCTGATGACCCACAACTATAAGGGATCAATCCTAGTTCTTTCGATAAGAGTGTAGAGTCCAATGAGGAGTAGAAAGAAATGACAAACGGTTTCCAGCAAGGTATTATCTGCATGCACTGAAATTGTCGGTAACAGATAGTTTGATAGCAAGGTAATTTGTAACGAGCAAATAGTAGTAACGATAACAAAGGTGCATCAAGGTAGATCAATCCTTTTTGTAGCAAAGGACAGGCCGGAACTTTCTCTTATAGCAAGTAAAGGCTCTTAAGGACACATGGGAATTTCATCTAGTCACTTTCATCATGTTTGTTTGATTCATGTTCGTTACTTTGATAATTTGATATGTGGGTGCACCGGTGTTTGAGTGATGTTCTTACTTGAACAAGCCTTCCACTTATGATTAATCCCTCTCACAAGCATCCAGAACTACGAAAAAAGAATTAAGATAAATCTAACCATAGCATGAAACATATGGATCCAAATCAGCCCTTACGGAATAGCGCATAAACTAGGGTTCAAGCTTCTGTCACTCTAGCAACCCATCATCTAATTACTACTCCACAATGCATTCCCTTATGCCCAAATATGGTGAAGTGTCATGTAGTCGACGTTCACGTAACACCACTAAGGAAAACAGCAACATACATATCATCAAAATATCGAATGAATACCAAATTCACACGATTACTTATGACAAGACTTCTCCCATGTCCTCAAGAATAAAAGTAACTACTCACAAATCATATTCATGTGCAAGATCAGAGGGGTATTGAATATCATCATGGATCTGAATATATAATCTTCCACCAAATAAACCAACTAGCATCAAGTACAAGATGTAATCAACACTACTAGCAACCCATAGGTACCAATCTGAGGTTTTGAGACAAAGATTGAATACAGGAGGTGAACTAGGGTTTGAGGTGAGATGGTGTTGGTGAAGATGTTGATGAAGATTGGTCCTCCCATGATGAGAGGGTTGTTTGTGATGACGATGGCTTCGCTTTTCCCCTCCCGGAGGGAAGTATCCTCGGCGGAATCGCTCCGCCAGAGAGCAAAAGTGCTCCTGACCAGATTTTGCCTCGAGATGGCGGCGTTTGATGACCCACAAGTATAGGGTATCAATTGTAGATATTTTTGATTAGTAAGAGTGTCGAACCCAACGAGGAGCAGAAGGAAATGACAAGTGGTTTTCAGCAAGGTAATGTCTGCAAGTGCTGAAATTGTAAGTAGCAGAGTAGTTTGATAGCAAGATAATTTGTAACGAGCAAGTAATGATAGTACTAGCAAAAGTGCAGCAAGGTAGCCCAATCCTTTTGAGGCAAAGGACTGGCCAAAATGGTCTCTTATGATAAGCAAAGTGTTCTTGAGGGTACACGGGAATTTCATCTAGTCACTTTCATCATGTTGGTTTGATTTGTGTTCGCTACTTTGATAATTTGATATGTGGGTGAACCGGTGCTTAGGTGACGTTCTTACTTGAACAAACCTCCTACTTATGATTAACCCTCCCGCATGTTGGGGAACGTAGTAATTTCAAAGAAATTCCTACGCACACGCAGGATCATGGTGATGCATAGCAACGAGAGGGGGGAGTGTGTCCACGTACCCTCGTAGACCGAAAGAGGAAGCGTTAGCACAATGTAGTTGATGTAGTCGTGCGTCTTCACGACCCGACCGATCCAAGTACCGAACACACGGCACCTCTGAGTTCAGCACACGTTCAGCTCGATGACGTCTCACGAACTCCGATCCAGCAGAGCTTCGAGGGAGAGCTCCGTCAGCACGACAGTGTGATGACAGTGATGATGATGCTACCGACGCAGGGATTCGCCTAAGCACTGCTACGATATGACCGAGGTGGATTATGGTGGAGGGGGGCACCGCACACAGCTGAAAGATCAATGATCAATTGTTGTGTCTCCAAGGGGTGCCCCCCTCCTCGTATATAAAGGAGTGGAGGAGGGGGAGGGCTGGCCCTCTCTATGGCGCGTCCTAGGGGAGTCCTACTCCCATCGGGAGTAGGATTCCCCCTTTCCTAGTAGAATTAGGAGCCCTTCCAAGTAGTAGGAGTAGGAGAGAAGGAAAGGGAAAAGAGAAGAGAAGGATGGAGGGGGCGCCACCCCTCCCCCTAGTCCAATTCGTACTAAGCATTGGAGGGGACGCACAGCCTCTCCTCTCTCTTTCCCTTAAAGCCCAATAAGGCCCATATACTCCCCGACGAATTCCCGAAACTCTCCGGTACTCCGAAAAATACCCGAATCACTCGGAACCTTTTGGATGTCCGAATATAGTCGTCCAATATATAGATCTTTATGTCTCAACCATTTCAAGACTCCTTGTCATGTCCCCAATCTCATCTGGGACTCCGAACTACCTTCGGTACATCAAAACACATAAACTCATAATACAAATCGTCCCCGAACATTAAGCGTGCGGACCCTATGGATTCGAGAACTATGTAGACATGATTGAGACACGTCTCCAGTCAATAACCAATAGCGGAACCTAGATGCTCATATTGGCTCCTACATATTCTACGAAGATCTTTATCGGTCAAACCGCATAACAACATACGTTGTTCCCTTTGTCATCGGTATGTTACTTACCCGAGATTCGATCGTCGGTATCTCAATACCTAGTTCAATCTCATTACCGAAAAGTCTCTTTACTCGTTCCGTAATACATCATCTGCAACTAACTCATTAGCTACAATGCTTGCAAGGCTTATAGCTTTTCTTGATTTCTACCTTCGTCGATTTCAGCATCACGAAGAGCTTGGGAATCATTTCCGTTATTCCTTGCATATAATAGTTCATCATGAAGTTCTAGCAACTTGGTCATAGTGACTAGAGAACTCTGTCAATCACTATCTTATCTGGAAGATTAACTCCCACTTGATTCAAGTGATTGTAGTACTCAGACAATCTGAGCACATGCTTACTGGTTGAGCCATTCTCCTCCATCTTGTAGGCAAAGTAATGTCAGAGGTCTCATACCTATCAACACGGACATGAGTATGAAATACCAGTTTCAACTCTTGGAACATCTTATATGCTCCGTGGCATTCAAAACATTTTTAAGTCCTGGTTCTAAGACGTAAAGCATGGTGCACTAAACTATCAAGTAGTTATCATACCGAGCTTTTGTCAAAACGTTCAAAACGTCTGCATCTGCTCCTGCAATAGTTCTATCACCTAGCGGTGCATCAAGGACATAATACTTCTATAAAGCAATGAGGATAATCCTCAAATCACGGAGCTAGTCCGCATCTTCGCTACTAACATCTTTCAACTTATTTTTCTCTAGGAACATATCAAAAATAAAACAGGGGAGCTAAACGCGAGCTATTGATCTACAACATAGATATGCTAATACTACCAGGACATAGTTCATGATAAATTAAAGTTCAATTAATCATATTAATTAAGAACTCCCACTTATATAGACATCCCTCTAATCATCTAAGTGATCACGTGATCCAAATCAACTAAACCATGTCCGATCATCACGTGAGATGGAGTAGTTTTCAATGGTGAACATCACTATGTTGATCATATCTACTATATGATTCACGCTCGACCTTTCGGTCTCGGTGTTCCGAGGCCATATCTGCATATGCTAGGCTCGTCAAGTTTAACTTGAGTATTCTACGTGTGTAAAACTGTCTTACACCCGTTGTAGATGAATGTTGAGCTTATCACACCCGATCATCACGTGGTGTCTCGGCACGGCGAACTTTGGCAACGGTGCATACTCAGGGAGAACACTTTTACCTTGAAATTTAGTAAGGGATCATCTTATAAAGCTACCGCCGAACTAAGCAAAATAAGATGTATAAAAGATAAACATCACATGCGATCATAATATGTGACATGATATGGCCATCATCATCTTGTGCTTTTAATCT